TCTAGAAGACTAAGGCGGTACGGACCCTACAGAAGTCAACCTAGACGACAAAATGGAAGAAACTCACCACGGCCAAGAAGTACCTATACTGTTACCACGCGACTACTGGATGCCCGTCAGGAACTACAGGATTGCCGAGACGAGCACGCGGTCGACCACTGTCATCTTACCCTATCCTGCTTGCCGTTTGATGCGGACCGTGAAGGGCACGTGACGCTCGACCTCATCACCGCCCCCACCGTCGCCTCGCTCAAGAAGGCGATCGTGGAACACATGTACCCTTACAGGGAGCATACCGACAACCACGACAATGGCATGACCTCAGCCACATCAAAACCTACTACACGGACCATGGCATCAACAAGGTGGACAACAAAAAAAAGCCTGCACTACCGATCCCAGCTTACAGGTGGCGCAGCAAAGCACTTCATCGAGCTGCTCAACTCCGCTGGCACAGCCATCACGTATGAGGAATGCGCGACTGATGGGCTGTCGAAACATGTGGAACTCAACCTCAAGCGCACTGCCGACCACGTACCGCAAGGGTCCGGCAAGAGGGCCCGCGCGGAGGACATGCCCTGAAGGACAATACATTAGGAAGAAGATACTCGCGCTCCCAGCCACTAACGTTTTGCTGGAACACACCACAGTGATCTTCACGTACTACGGTACAGCACTGTGCGAAGACGCCGTCAGCGTTGCAGAGAGTAGGTTGCGCCGTGGACCATGCCAAGGGCAAAACCTCGAGTCTACAAAACTCCTCCGACGGCCGCTTCCCACGAGTGGCTCCGCCGCGCAACCCCATCCCCGTCAGCCCGTCCTGGTTACGTTCGTATATGGTACTCCAGATTTCGTAATAAAAGGACGGGGGTCTCAACCCTCCCAGACGAGAAGTTTTAGACCCCCCCGTGGGAGAGCCCTCCAAAACATCGTCCCCAGACCCCCCAGGCCCTCCAAGATAGCCTGGAAGAGACCCCCCCCCGAAATGAGACCCCCCTCCCTTTATCACGAAATCTGGAGTACGTTCGTATATGGTACGGTACCTCCCTCTCTCCATCCCCTCTCTGGGAAACACCTTCGGCGGCGCCCGGGGACACGGGCACCGCCGCGGCGCTCGCCGCGCCCATGGGGCGCGCGCGAGCAAAGGCGGCGGGGGGGGGGATGGAGCTGGGCAGCGCCGCGCGGCGCGGCGCCGGCCGGAACCAGGGTCGGGCCGGGGAGGCGCCAAGCGATGCCGCAGCACGCCCTCGCGTCCCAGGTGACGCCCCCCCCCCCCATAGGCTGAGTCCCCAAATCCGGCCCTGCCCGCTGCGGGCAGCACTCCCCCCTTTCAGTGACAGGCGACGCTGCAGCGCACACCCTCACAAGTCCCAGGTCCACCCCCAGCCCCCCTCTGAAGTCCCCAGGTCTGGTCCTGCCCGTTGCGGGCAGCACCCCCCCTCCCCTCTCTTGAGCGACAAGCAAGCGCCCAGTGGGCCTGCCACTGGGGCGAGACTCCGCGGCGCGAGGGGGAAGCCCATCCATGCGTCGTGCCAAATCTGGCACGCAGAGGCAGTGTGAGGCCGTTCGAGAAAATGCCGTGCGATAGCACCTTTCTGAGAGGGGTCTGTCCTCCGTCCGTATCTGTGTTGCAGAATCTCGATGCCAGCACAGAGCATCCACGGAAATCCAACACGACACGCCGATGCTGAAAAAGCACTGAGCGAGCCGCATTTGAAAACGATTTGGCCTCATTCCGTGCAACTGCTGGGAACGTTGAAACGAATGTGCGCGAAACTCCTGGTGAAAACCAACGGCCCCTATCCCTGTAACAGCTGGGCACTTTTCCAACACATACGCGCGGCGTTAAGGCGAGGGCCGCGGTTTGAAACGAATGAGAACAGCGCACGGCGAGACCCACATACTACGCCGTTGCAGAAGTTCGTCACGTTTCATGAGAATTTGAAGATGGCATGGGTTTCGTGTCTTACTTCCGCGTGAGCGGGCGGGCAGAGTTTGGCCACTGTCCCGTCCAAGCAGAGCTGGCCCCCCCTTCCCCCTAGAATCCTAGCGGACTGAGTCAAGAGCGGTCGGATCAAAGATCCTGGATGTTCAAAAAGTGAGCATTCACCCCTTACTATAATAGCATAATTTTACAACGGGGTAATATGTTTATATATATATGTGTTAAAAAACACGCGGCTTTAGAAATCCCACCGGGCGGAATTTGCCCATGCATATGCAAGATGACCGAATCTCAATGTATGACGACACGCTTGTAACGCACATGTGTATATAATATAATATATATAACAACAAACCAAAAAAAAAAAAAAAAAAAAAAAAAAAAAAAAAACGACTGGCTCTCCATCCTTGCGGCTGCTGCATCTCCTTCTTCGCTTCAGGGCAATAACGTGCGAGGATGTCTAAAGCGAACCGCCAGGCCCGATCTATGGATACGCCTGGAGATGCGGCAGGGGAGAGTTGTCCATGAAGAGGGATCGGTGGTGAGGAGGAGGAGGAGGAGGAGGAGGAAAAGGAGGAGGACCAGAGTAAATCCAAGATGCATCGACGATGCTGCAATGCCCACTCCCGTCCCGAGCCCCCTCCTCCGAGCATTCGTTCGCACTGCGCGAGGCGCTCCTTTGGAAGCGCCCCCATTGAAAGACGAACACGGGGAGGGGGACGAGGGGGAGCAGGAGGAGCAGGAGGAGGAGGAGGACGCCGAGGACGCCATAAACTATAGAAAAACCTGTTCCCCGACGACCCCCTGCGACTGCTTTGAAGCCCCTACCTCATGGCGACCTCTCGGCGGCGGGGGGACTCCTCCGAGCATCCGTCTTCACTGCGCGAAGGGCTCCAACGGAGGCGCGTGGTGGAGGAGGAGGAGGAGGAGGAGGAGAAATGAAGGAAGGATAAGGCGGCGACGGAGGAGTAGGAAAACGAGGACGCCATCAAGCACACTGGCCACAGGTCAATGCGTCCACACCACCACCCGCCAGTTCGCGGTGGCTTGAGAGCAGCCCCGCTCTGGGCCTCCTCCGTGTCTTCGCTCCTCCGGGTCGCGTGAAGATGAGGACCAAGTGTCCACCCACACCCTCCCCACTCTCGATCAGGCTATGCACTGATGAAACAAAACAAGTACTCCAGATTTCGTAATAAAGGGAGGGGGGTCTCATTTCGGGGGGGGGTCTCTTCCAGGCCATCTTGGAGGGCATGGGGGGTCTGGGGACGATGTTTTGGAGGGCTCTCCCACGGGGGGAGGTCTGAAGTGGCCTGTCTTGGAGGGTCCAGACCCCTTCCCTTTTATTACGGAATCTGGAGTATCGATATACCGCTACTCCCAGGACCTTTCCCGAGGTGCGTTCTGACCAGAGCTTCTAGGAGAATCCAGCCCTGGCAGAGCGGGCTTTCTAGGACGAGCACCGGCATCGCTCTCTCTCCTTCCTCTCACTTACTAGCACTGCCAAGGGGGGCGCGCGTGACAAAAGCACCGCGCGCCCGCGCGTGAGCTGGCGTGCGGCGCCCAGGGGGACGCCTGCGAGCGCTGCGCAGCAGCAGGCAGGGGAGGCGGATTGATGAGGAGGCACTACTCGGCCGCAGTGTCGCCACCTCTGCCACTGAGAGAAGCGGCGAGCAGCGGCTGAGCGAGCCGGCGGCGCAGCTGGCAAGAAGCTGACGGGTCCAGAGGGACACGGGTCCTGGACCCCCGGGCCTTCCCCCAGGACCAGCTGCAGCCCCGCCTTGGCGGCCCCCCCCCTCGCTGCGGCTGTTGCCGCCGGCTCGGGCCGCCCGCAGCGGCGAGGCCACACGCCACACACGGTGGTGCGGCCCATGTGCGCAGCCCTGGGCGGACTCCTGCGCACACGGGTTGAGGCCACCCTAGGCCGTGTGCCCTTGGCCTTGGGCCGCGGCGGCACGCGGGGGCCCTGCCCACATGGTGCTAGGCCACCGCGTCTGGGCAGGAGCTCATCCACCACACCCCCCTCTCGGGCGAGGAGAGCTGTGCGCCCACACAGAAATTTTGGGCGGGCCCAGCTAACGGCGCCCGCGCACGCACACGCACACGAACACACGCACCCACACACACACACACACACACACACACACACACAACACGCACGCACGCACGCAACGCACGCGCACGCACGCACGCACATACGCACACACACACACACACACACACACACACACACACACACACACACACACACACACACACACACACACACTTTCACACACACACACACAGGCACACACACACACACGAACACACACACACACACACACACACACACAGACACACACACACACACACACACACACACACACACACACACACACACACACGCGCGCCAGCCCTGGCCAGGCCCATCCTGGGCCCAGGATACGCACATCTGCCCCGCTGGCCAGGCAAGGAGGGCGTGCGCACCGATCCTCAGCCCCAGGCAGGCCTTGGCCAGGGCCTGCTTATGTGCATTACGGCTGGACCTAGGACAGAAGAGCATCCTGCAAGAGCATGAGACCCCCGCCGCACAAAACACACAGAACATCCTAGGGTACCCTCCCCAGGATGCACAAGAACATCCAACGAACACAGAGAGCATTATTAGGCACCCTCCCCGAACCGACCTCGGTCTTATAGTTCGGTCCGACCGTAGTTCTCTTCCTTCGAGCCTCTCCCCCACACGTGCCTGGTTGTCCTGGTCCAAATTGTCCTGGTTGTCTTACCCTGGTGGTCCTGGTGATCCTGGTCCTGGTCGTGCCTCGGTCCTGGTTTTCCTGGTGTCCCACCCGCGCAGCCGCTATTCTCCTGCTCCAGCTCTGGCGCCTCCCCCCTTTTAAGAAGAAGCCAGGACGAGGACAAATTCGAGGGAGGACCAATCGAAACCCTGAGCGATTCGGGCGCCGCGGCCTTCTCAGAGCGTTCCGGAACGCTCTGAAAGCGTTCTGGAACGCCCTGGAACGGATTTATCCTCGTCCTAGCGCCGTCCGACCTCCCCCCTCTGCTCCCCTCGGTCCTGCAAGCAGTGGCAGCCATGCCGGGTATGCGGCAGGGGCCGTTGTCAAACTTGCCTGGCCTCCCCCTGAGCACAATCAGCTTGGTTTGGCGGGAGGCATGGATGGGGGGAGGCCGTCACGGCAAGAGAGCTTGATGGAGAGAGAGAGAGAGACTGATCTGTCGATCTAGAGACTGGTATATTTATAGATATACATATACATACATATGTAGGGAGACAGAGAGACCGTAAGAGACGGAGATAGGGAGAGCGAGAGAGAACGAGAGATTCCCAACGACGGTGATCCGAAGAAAGAGGACAGAGAGAGAGAGGCAGGAAGGCAGGCAGGCTTGCAGACAGACAGACGTTTGATACGAAAGTTGACGTCTCAAGCGCGTCCGCTGCGGGGAAAGATCAACCAACGAATAACAGCGTCTCTTATCTTAAAGGGTCAAGATCACAGACAGGCAGACTGACAGACAGAGAGACAGACAGACAGACAGACAGCCAGACAGCCAGACAGACAGACAGACAGACAGACAGACAGAGAAGCAGGCAGGCAGGCAGGCAGGCAGGCAGGCAGACAGACAAAAAGAAAGAGAGATCTGGAGACGGGGTGAGAGTGAGAGGGACAGGCAGAAAGACAGGTAGAGATACACATCGAAACTGGCACAAGCACCGAGATGAATGGGAGCCCGCCAGCAGAAGCCCAAACACGAGCGCAGGCAAACACAGCACGCGCATACGAGAAGAAATTCTGCTACAAGAAAAATGGGGGCCACATCCATCGCCGGCGAAGCTTCGTGAGGTGCCCAAGAGCTCTGCGGCCCCGTCGGGAGATAACAAAAAACTCGCGTGGGGCACACGTTGGCCGTCCAGGTCCTTATTTCGGGTGCCGCTGTAAACGCACAGCACGTCGGGCGCAGGGCTGAAAAAATCTCTCGCGGGGCACCCGTTGGCAGGCCGGTTTCTTACTTCAGGTGCCACTGTAGACGCACAGCAGATCAGGCGCCAAGCTGGACGCGTGGCGCCCGCGCACACGCGCATGTGCGCGGGCTGGGGAGGCGATGGGGGAGGAGATGGACCCGGTGGGGAGCACAGTCAAACATATGATTCAGAAAATCATCAATTCAGAAAAATGGGCCAGCTTCCCAGAGGTTTCTTAAGGAAGCGCTGGGCCAGCTTCTGGAGCCAGGAACGTACACGATTCATTTCTAGGATCCAAGGCTACCAATAAGAAACTGAGCCAACTTTCCGGCAAGTTGGTTGAGAAACGCTGGCCAGCTTTTCGGGGGGAGGTTTCTTAATCATACGCGGGACCGTAAGGGAAGAGAGGGAGACGAGAAGAAAGACAGAGTGACAAGCCTACGGCGACCGTGCGACCCAACCACTTTGGCCCGTCCGTCCGAAGGTGAAGCCGAAGGGCTTCCGACACAATGGTCACCACGTGGGGTCCGTGGAGACCTCCTCACACCCCTCCTCTGAGATCCGACGTTACGAAAAAATGCAACATCGCAAAAAAACACGTTTCGAGCCCGAGACCCACCTTTCTGCTGCATTTTTCTAGCCAAAGCGACCTGTGATGCTCCTGGGGTCTGAAACTGGGCGAAAACACCCATGAAAAATTGCAACGCCTCAATCTCTGGGTCAACCAGCCGGGACTTGCAACGACGGGGATGGGCGCACGGCCACGCCCTGGGAAGAAGGTCCAGCCCTCGTCACCGGCCACGGATGTAACTGCGGAGCCAAGCAATGTCGCCATGACTTGGCAACGCCCTGCGAGGCCCCCAAAGCCGCACTGCTCCTCACTCTCCTCGTGGTCCTACTGCTCCCTCCTCCTCCTCCTCCGCCTCGTCCTCCTCCTGCTTCCTCTCCCAATCATCATAATCATCACGATCATCATCATCATCATCATCATCATCATCATCATCATCATCATCATCATCATCATCATCATCATCATCATCATCAGCAGCAGCAGCAGCAGCATCATCATCATAATCATCACCATCATTATTATCATCATCATCATCATCACCACCATCATCATCATCAGCATCATCATTGCCAGTATCAACATCCACAGCATCATCAACAGCAACATCGTCAACAGCATCATCAACAACAACCACAACAACCTCATCAACAACAGCAAAAGCAACCACAACAGCAACAGCAACAGCAGCAGCAGCAACACCAACATCATCCACAATCGTCATCGTCACAATCGTCATCATCACAAGCATCACCATGATCATCAACAAGAACAATATCATCATCAAAATCGTTGTCATCATCGTCATCATACTTATCAGCAGCATCATCATAATCATCAGCAGCATCAGCATCGTCCTCATCATAATCGCCGTCATCATCACCATCATCAGCAGCAGCATCAGCATCATCAGCATCATTATCATCATGCTCATCATCCTCAGTATCATCACCATCCTCGTCCACAGCCTCCTCCATCCCTTTTCCATATTCCCCAAACAACGAGTGCACTTGGGGGTCTTCCTTCTGTTCTACGGAACTAAGCTGGCGTGGCAGTGTGGCGGCTATGTTGTCGCCATCGCCGCCCCGTCGCCGCCTCGTCGCCGCCAGTCGTCGTGCTGGTCCGGCGGTCTGGCGGCTATGTTGTCGCCATCGCCGCCCCGACATAAATTGCGCACCACCCCACCGAGGCCAGGATTGTCGGTTCATCCTGGGGATGCGCAATAAATAATACGCTACCCCATCGTTCATTGGAAATATGAATTCAAACCATCCCAGCCAAGCTGGGTTCGACCCCACCACAATACCTTGCAAATCACACCATGCGCACACACTCGCTCACCCAAAACACGAGACGAAGCGCACACGCACGCGTCGTCGCGCGCGCATGCCAAAATCCTTCAAACCTGTTGGTTTCGTACGGATTAGCAATCGAGTGCCTCAAACACACATACACTGCTTACACCGATGTTTTCGTATCGGAGGTCTCGCTGGACACCTCGCTGAGTTGTAAGATCATACCTTTGCGCGCTCCATGTGAAACGCTAGACGGACGGAAGTATGCAAAGCAGTTAGTTTCTTTTCACAAGCGGGCTCTCGCCTGAACGTCAGGCCCACAGGAAATTATGAGGAGGTGCCGTGGGACGGCAGGATGTATTGCAGCAATCTTTCTGCCACCCAAGCAGCCACACGAGCAGCTATGAATACCCAAAGTGCCCTGGCCATTCAAAGTAATCAAGCTACGCCTGCTAGCGCCTGGCATTAACGAGATGCTGCATATTGCCGGGGGGACGAAGACGCACGGAGAAGAGAGGAGAAGTCAAGAGAAGAGTCGAGACTGGACAAACGCAGTGTGCGCACCCACACGGCTTCCATGGAAGGATGTACTGCCGCATCGTTCATCCGTTCTGGATTTACTCTGGCCATCCTCTTTCTCCTCGAGAAAAACATAAAATTCATATACAAACATTTTCGGAGGTCCGCGCGGATTTCTCGGATCGGTGCCAGACTCCCTCCCAAGCACGCGGAGGGGGCCAGGGGAGGCGCCGGACACGCCGCCAGGGGGGGCCAGCGCCGATCCCACAAATCCGCGCGGCCCTCGGAACACACATGTTTGTCCTCCAACTCCTCCCTCCTCCTCCTCCTCCTCCTCCTCCTCCTCCTCCTCCTCCTCCTCCTCCTCCTCCTCCTCCTCCTCCTCCTCCTGTTCCTCCTGAGTGGGCTCTAGATGCAACGCCTGTAGCCATATTTCCTCCTCCTCATCATCATCATCATCAGCAGCATCATCATCATCATCATCAGCATCATCATCATCAGCATCAGCATCATCATCATCACCATCATCATCAGCATCATCATTATCAGCATCATCATCATCATCACATCATCATCAGCAGCAGCAGCATCATCAGCATCAGCATCAGTCATCATCGTCATAGTCATCATCATCATCGTCATCATCATCATCATCATCATCATCATCATCATCATCATCATCATCATCGTCATCATCATCCACATCGGCATCTTAATCCTCATCCTCATCCTCATCCTCATCCTCATCCGCCTCCGCCGCCTCATCCTCCTTCTCTACCTTCTCTGCCCCCTCCTCCTCCTCCTCCTCCTCCTCCTCCTCCTCCTCCTCCTCCTCCTCCTCCTTTTCCTCCTCCTCCTCCTCCTCCCCCTCCTCCTCCCTGCCCTCCGCCCCCTCCGCCACCCCCTAGCATGGTGGAAACAGGTCCCGAGGGAAACGGGTCCTGGACACCGGGACCTTCCCCCTGGGCGAGATCTTCATCCTGAGTCGTTTTCTGACAGTCCTGGGACCCGTGGAGGGCCCCGAGAGCCCAAAAACGGCGATCAACCTCAGGACCTGCTTCCATCGGGCTCCCGCCCCCCCCATGGCGACCCCCGCCCCCGTCCGTCCGAAATCCCCGCGGCCCTCCAAACACATGTGCTTGTGCTGGTTTTCGTATCATTCTTCTTCTCCTCCTCCTTCTTCGGCCTCCTCTTCCTCTCTCCTCCTCCTCCCTCCTCCTCCCTTCCTCCTCCTCCTCCCTCCTCCTCCTCCTCCTCCTCCTCCTCTCCTCCTCTCTCCTCCTCCTCCTCCTCCTCCTCTGAGCCTCCTTCTCCTCCTCTTACTCCTCCTCCTCCCTCCTCCTCCTCCTCCTCCCCTCCTCCTCCTCCTCCTCCTCCTCCTCCTCCTCCTCCTTCCTCCTATTCCTCGCCCCCTCCTCCTCCTCCTCCTCCCTCCACCTACCTCCTCCTCCACCTCAACCTCCACCTCCTCCCTCCTCTCCTCCTCCTCCTCCTCCCTCCTCCTCCTCCTCCTCCTCCTTTCCTCCTCTCCTTCTCCTATTCCTCCCGCTCCCTCCTCCTCCTCCTCCTCCCTCCACTCCTCCTCCTCCTCCCTCCATCCTCCTCCTCCTCCTTCCTCCTCCTCCTCCCCTCCTCCTCCTCCTCCTCCTCCTCCTCCTCCTCCTCCTCCTCCTCCTCTCCTCCTCCTCCTCCTCCTCCTCCTCCTCCTCCTCCTCCTCCTCCTCCTCCTCCTCCTCCTCCTCCTCCTCCCCCTCCCCCTCCTCCGCCCCCTCCGCCACCCCCGTCCCCGTCGGCAC